CATCCGATAACTTTTTTATCGAGAATAATCGAAAAATTGATTTTGTTTTTTCAGTATCATATGAACATTATTAGACCTAGAAGCTTCAGATTTATTGTGTATACATATATACATATACATATATACATATATACATATGATGAATATAAACATTTTGTAATCAACAGATTTTGGATACTGCGCCCCTTTCGCCCCCAATTTGTAAGAAACGTATTTCCATTATTAGAGCCTTATGCTTTGGAATGTACATACATTAGAACATTATGAATACGTTCCGAAGAGATTGTATGTCTAGAAATTAAATTATTCAACAAATAAATTTTCATAATATTCCCCATACTGCAGCGCAGCTCAAAGCGCAGTCGCTGCCTACTGCGCAGTTAGCAGAGCGCGTTTTTATACGTGCATGCGGATGCATGTGTATGTATGCATATGTGCATAAAATAAGTATAGAATGATGAGAATATCAGATTGGAGGGTTCAGGGTATCTCCCAGTCGAGCAGTCTACTCTGGAGCCTCCTTAGTTGTTTTTAATTTCTTTTCGTGTCCGTTTTCCCATTCATAAGTTATTTGCCCACAGAGTTCAATGAGCTGTCTGTTATATAGCCATTTAATTGCTTCACTTAATTGTGCAATACAACAAAAACAACAACATCATCAGTAATAACAGCTGTATAATAGTTTGTTGAAGGGCGCTTCGGTTCGCACATGTTGCTCGTAATTACAGCAAACATTTAGACGCCAGTTATTATATTATACGATATTTATATGCAGTTCGCAGTGCTTTGATGCCAAGTAGTTTCCCAGCTTTCGCAGCGAGCTGGCAGCCAAGTCATGAACTCGTTTACTATTAGGAAATGCCATTGAACAACACACGCACACACACACAGAGACTCACCCACCTACACAGTTATACATAATGGAAACCCCACCCACAGTCACCCTGGCATTGAAATGTATCCATATTAATGCGCATCTAACTGTTAAATCGAGCTGTCAACCAGACCCAGTCTGAGACCATGTTACAGTACCACTCACTATTTGAGACCCACTCGCAGTCGCCCTTCCATCTCCATCCCCATCTGTTTATCAGGCACTGTCATCGCTTTTGCATTGAGTTGTCAGCGTCTGCTCTTAGCACTTTATTAAATGATAGTTTATCGAGCTGTTTACTCGGCTTTGTGTGTGCCCGATAATCGTGAAGTTGCTGTCTATGACTTGTAGTTCCCCTAAGTGCTTGTTGCACTCGCAAGTTGTGTCGGCTCGCCTAAAGTGGGGATTAGAAGGCGTGTATTACATCCGGAACAGCCTCTGGGCATGTCTCAGTTTATTGATAAGAGTAGCAAATGGGATGACTACCAAAAATATATTTAAGCTAAACGATAGCTCCTCTTACATACTTGGGTATATACAACATGTATGTATCTATAAAATTGTTGAGTAGATATAAATCTGTATATATACCATGTTTTACGTTTATCATCTTACATAGATTAATAAATGCCGTTTTCCTTTTCTTGACGACTAAAAGGATTTACTGATCGCTCTGAAATACAAAAACAGTTAGCTCTTAACCCCATAATAGCTATCATTCGACCAGTAAACGCCTTATTTGTAAATTCCGAATTCCTTCAAATAGATTAATACCAGAATGAATCCAGAATTCGCATTCACTGTTAATACGCATAATTATGCTTCAATTGGCAATTTAATTGTATCGCAAATGGGGTTGAGATTAATTCTAAAAAACAATCACGTCGGTCTCTAGAGTAAAAGCTCCAAGCACTTCAATGCCAGCAGATTGCCCTTTATATAAAGCGTAACCTAATATTACGCATATATCTGTCGAAGTTATTGTTTCTGAATTTCAAACTTAATAGATCAAATATATTTTTTTAGTATTACAGTAAAATATACTAGAAAACAAAATAAATAAAAAGAAAATCATTTGATTAATAATTAATTATTTATTCATTGGCGAGTTCCAGTCAGAGTCCCCAACTTGGTCAGAGTTGCAGTTGTTATTCATTGTGTGCCTCGTGCGCATAATTGATTTTGTGCTGGGGCATGGGCATTGTGTGGACTAGCGACTGCCGCCTCCTTTGCCAACTCCTTTTGTTGTCATATTAATGTCAGAAGATTGCACTTGATCATGAATTGTGGAATTGTGAAAATGTGAAAACTGCGCGGAATGGCGAATTGCGTGTTTGCCACTTAACGTTTTATGCACCATTACCATAGTTAATAATGGCTTAGCTTCAATTATTCATATGATCCAATATTTATATGATATTACTAAGAACCCTCATAGTGGACGTATCGGGAAAATCTTAAAACTTAACGAAGGTATACGTAAGGATATATTCGAAATTTCAGATGGACGGATGGACATTGAAACAAATCAATAGACTAATTTAATATTCGTGAATTAGTATTATTAAACAAAAATAATTTTATTACTATCATAATTTATTTGGATGCGGCCTAACTTTCTTCACCTTGAACCTCTTTTCCATTTGGTAATATATATTAAAGTAGCTTAGGTAAACCTTGATAAACCTCTGATAAGCATTTGTACTTATTAATTTTAAACAGCGGCGAGACTTCGGCCGGGGTCCTGGCCAACTGCCTCTGACTGCTTACTGATTACACATGAGTCAACATTAAGTCGATATTTGCCTAGAATCAGAATCAGAATCAGCAATAGCGACGCTTGTTGGAAACGCATTTTAATTTGCAGTCGAGCCAGAAGATAAAAAACAAAATTATTTTCCCATGCATGTCAAAGCAAGTGTCACGGCACGCCCACAGCCTACGGCACGTTCAGCCGCCAACAAATAGTCTAAGCTAAGCAGATGCGCATCCTTTCACCCAGAGGCAGTTGCAGTTGCTGTTGCAGTAGCTTTCCCACAGTTGTTGGTGTGGCACTTGAGTGGGTCGGCCAGCAGGCGTGATAAGTGCATAAAACGTTAAGTGGCAAACACGCAATTCGCCATTCCGCGCAGTTTTCACATTTTCACAATTCCACAATTCATGATCAAGTGCAATCTTCTGACATTAATATGACAACAAAAGGAGTTGGCAAAGGAGGCGGCAGTCGCTAGTCCACACAATGCCCATGCCCCAGCACAAAATCAATTATGCGCACGAGGCACACAATGAATAACAACTGCAACTCTGACCAAGTTGGGGACTCTGACTGGAACTCGCCAATGATTGAGCATGCGACAGGCGCGCAGTGACAGGCGCTGATACAGCTGGGTCCGCAGCAGTAGCAGGGGGGAGGAGGTGGAGGAGGAGCAGCAGTAGTAGACGTTGCGCCGGCGCAGAAGCATTTGCCATGCGGCTTGATGAATGTCTGTCAAATTGCTGACACGTACGCACTCCTCCTCGTCGTCGCAGTCGTCGTCGTTGTCTCTGACATTGACACAATGTTGTGTGGCTGTGGCTCTGGCTCAATCTCAAGAGCAACATTGTTGTTGGTGCGCTGCTGGGGCAGGAAAATATTTCATGGCATTTAATTTCAACTCGCATGCTGCCTGTCATCTAATTGAGTTGTTTCGCCGCACAAATTTATCGGCATATTAATGCAGCATATTTCAAATGCCACGATGCCAAGTCGCTTGACTCACTTCCTTCTGCTACTCCGCCTCCTTCTACTCCTCATAGACAGCAGCAGCAGCAGCAGTTCCTCAGCTGCTGTGGAACATGTTTATGCAATTCGCTGGTGTGCCAAACCGTATAACTGGAGGATTGGACTACTGGCCGATGCCTCCTTGGCTTGTCTTATCAAATGATTTTATTTATGCTATGGGCGCGCATGTGTGTGCGATAATTGGATTATATACTTTCGCGGCTTAGCAGCCAACAAAGTTGTGAAAATTGTCGGGTTTTCGCTTTCTATAAAACTTGGTCGATCTTTGCTGGTGGCAGCCATGCCAACTTGTTATTGTTGTTGTTGCTGCTTCTGTTGTTGTGGTTGGCTAATGGAGTCGCCTATTGGTTTATGTTAGTGGCAACTCGACTTTGGACTAAGCACTTCAAGTTTAGCTAAAATCCAAGTCCCTGCCTCGCCTGCCATAGAAAAATAATTATCTGTGGTTTTACGATTGTTTTGTTTTTATTTTTCTCTTTCCTTCTTGATTTATTTATGTGTAAGGCTAATGGCATATAAAGTTGAGATTAACAAACAAAACTGCAGAGTGCGACCTGAAAGTTTTCCCAAAGAAATCAGCGTCAGTGTAATTTTCTCTTAAAGAAAGTTATTGCTTGTCGAAGGGAGTCGCCTGGGGATTGTTTCAAGTTAACTACATTGAAATTATTGTCAGGTCAAAAAGCACATAATCAATAATGATAAATTTTTGTATGATATAACTTTTATTTTCTTATTTTTTTTATAAAATAATTTATTATCATGAAATTGCATTTTTGTAAATGAGTCGGTCCCACATCATGTAAATAGATGATTAACTTATTGAAAAACAAATCAACAAATATTAAAGAAATTAATTTTTAAGATGAATAGTTTGAGAATCTAACAGTGTTATTATTTGCAGAACAACTCAGCTCGTCGCCTTGATAAATAAAAAAAAGTTGCTTCAGTAAGAGGTTAATTGAAGAATTTTGAGACTACGAATGGGAAATGGAATTGTGTAGAGTTTGAATTGTTTAAATAATGGTTTCAGCAAGCCTTCTGCTATACCATTCACCAAGTTGAGTCAAGATTCGAGGAGCTTTGTCTTCGAGCCGAAGCTCTACTTAAACTCAAATCGAAATCGGCTGCTGTTGCCGCCTTGTTGTAATCCGAGACACATCGAGGCAGCTCGGTGCAATACCCCACAAGAATTGAATAGCGGGCTGTGGAAAGTACAGGTCCAGTCGCTAGTGTCCATTAATATGTATGAGGCATGTCAGAAGGCAATGCCAGAACGCGTTTATCAATCGTTCGGCGCGCTCGCTCTCGAACGCTGCCATTAGCTTCCGTCACCTTAAATCGCGTTGGCTGACCCAATTAACAGGGCATTATAGAGTCGTAAGGCATAGCAGACGTGTGATGCCAGAAAATTAGCAAACTAGACAAACCCCACAGCCAGAGTTGCTGAAGGAGCTGGCGGTAGGTGGCAGTAGCCAGCGTGTCCCGTCCGCGTTTCCAGTCCCGTGCGCCACATCGCATTAAATGTGCATGAAAATGCGACTGAATTCATAAATCACAAATCACTTAGGCGAACACAGTTTGGGAACGTGAGGCGTGGAACGTAGCTGTGGATGTAAATGTCTATGGCTATTCGGCTTTTTGGCTGACGGTTTGCGGTTGTCTGTTGCCGTTTCCATTTTGAATCTGAGTTTGAGTTGGAGTTTGGATCTTGGGCTTTGGTTTGGGGGCATGGGCTTACAAATGTTCATGTTTGCGCGATAATATTGACAAATTGTGCAAACATTCGCACACAATTAATAAAGCCAGACCCACACGACCTGCGCCACCACGTCCCACGGCGCACGACCCACGGCCCACGTGCGGGCAGCGCGTGTCCGCCAAAGACAAAGCTACCGAGATCAGAGCAAGACACGACCGCGACAGAGAGACAACATAATTTCGATTCCACGCGGCACTGAAGTTGCCTACCTAAATACGAAAATCCAAGAAGCCAAAGTGTCACTCTTCATTAAGTGTCGAAGCGACACAGTGGGCCGAATCGCATGGGAAATGGAGTAAAATTAATTGATAATTTAGGCTAACGAAAAGACTTCTTATACTCTCTTACTTGCTTTTTTTTTTTAAGTTATAAAATGAGATAGATTCCCAAAAAAGGAAAATAAAATACAAATAGTAATCAAATCAAAAATATAATGAAAATTATGGATGATGCAAGTCTTCAAATATGGAAACATTTTTGTCAACTGTTGAAATTGTTGTTGAATTAAATAAATAAAATAAACTTTTACTTATATTAAACGTCATTGTCATCATATTATAAACAATGTACCAATGTAACATATTATAACTATAGTACAGTAGTAGAAGTACAGTAAGTATAAAAATTATATATATATTTTTTTTTACATTTATATAAAATTTTATTTACTTTTGTTACTTGGGGAAAAAAATCTATATTTGAGCGTTATTTTCATAAATATTATCACGGGAGATATATTTTACGTAAAAATTCAATAATGCCAACGGACTCGACCAAACGGTTTGGTTTTTGTAAAGTATGCGAGAATTTAACATGGTGATGGGTGGAATTTGTTGAATGAATCAGATTATTCAACAGTTAAAAAATAAATATATATTTATATATGTATTTATTAATGTTGAATAAACTTAAAAGTATGAAATACACCAGAGTTTATAAATAATTATGCAAAACAAATAGATAAATTCAGTGCTTTAGACAGTTATTATTAGCTTCTGGTACATCTGTAATTTTTGAGCTTTTCGACGGTGTATCAAATTCAGTTGGAAATTTTTCTGCCGTCTTTATTAGCACGAAAATATTCTTTAATTCATTTACTGAATACTAGCATGTTAAATTTTAGTTAGAAACTGTTAATAATGATGCACAGTGCTTACTGTGCGGACTGCTTCTGCAAACGCACAATGCCTAATGCAAAGTTCAGCAATCAATGCACGTTCACACAAGCTGGCGCCCACACACACACAATCCCGTAGGCTCGAAGTGGGGCTGGACCTCAGACAGGGCTTGGACTGGTGCATGGATCGGATCTGGATGGGATGGGATTGGATGGGATCGCCCACGGCAGGGCCTAGGCCGGCCAGGCAATGAGCTTGCGACTTTGCTGATTGAGTTGAGGCAGTTGCTGTTGCTGCTACTTCTGCTGGGGCTGGTGGTGCAGCAATCTAGTGGCACGCCACTTCAACGGGACAGCAGGCGCTGTGATTGATGATTGTGGCACTCGTCGTTGTCAGCTGGCCTTTGATGTGGCACCACAGCAGCAGCAGTGGCGGCAGCAGAGAACGCTTCCTTTGGCACTACTCCTTCCACTTTCGTTTTCCAACTAATTCGACAATTTATGCAGCATAACTCGTGTATTTAGACCCGAAACGTAAGCGGCTTGAGCAGTTTCGTGTCTCTTAAGCCGCTTAGCAGCCAGCCAGGAAGCTGCGACAGACATTTTGTGTTGACAAATCAATTAAATGTAAAATTTAAAGGCGCACAGTAGTACCTGAGTCGGAGTCACAGACTCAAAGTTGGAGTCCAAGTCCGAGTCCAGCAGCAGCTCAGCACGAATTAGCTCGTCTACTCGCAGGTAAACGATTGCTAACATGCAACGCAGCCCCGTGGGCTTTTGCCCAGCTGTGGTCAGGGCCTAGAACTGGCGCTTATCGAAATGCATTGATTGCCCCGGCCCGGCTGCGAGCCATGCAAATCGTAAAGTGTGAAGACAAATTGCAAGCTCCGTCGGAGGTGCAGTGGTGGCACAGCGAAGGCATCGCGGAGGCACAGGAAACTCATTGCAGTCGCCAGATAATTGCACTCGATTTGTAATTCAAGATTAAGGGCAACCCAGAGCATTCGAGTTGGCACGGCATACTCCTTAGCTAGAGGCCTGTACTTTTCGATCTTTGTTTTAATTTATGTGCACTTGACGGTTTCTCCTCTTTGCCTCAGATTATCTCAGAAAATGTGGGCCATGAGTTAAGTGATTATGTAAATTTAGCTGGCAGAGGGCGAGGGGCGGAGGAGGAGAGAGATCGCAGTATGTCAATGTCATGCCTCCTAGATGTGTATAGCCTTCAAGAGAGCTACTGGGAGAGATTGGTTAACAACTTAAAAAGCTCTCAATTTATTATTGGCAATTCAAAGTGAAACCTTAACTGAGAAATTAAGTAAGCCGTTTATAATAGAGTATGTATATTATATAAAAGAAACAGTTGTGAAACATTTTGCTACAAATTTATTTATTCATTTACTCCATAGAGAATAGGACATAGGCGAAAATTATAAACATATCACTATATAAGCTCTTTGACCTGGATTACACAACACTCGCAAAGCCAGAGCTTGATTTTAGATATTATCTGTAATCATTAGTGTTGGAGTGGTGGCGTCAACAGTAAGTACAAAGACCGGCTTGTAATTTCCTCGTCTTTATTTTTGGGAAGAAGGTTCTGTTGCTTATAAATAGTGTGTAAAACTATGTAGATCCAGAAGTGGTAATACCTGTGACAAGTGAGCGGAGAGGTGTGTGCAGAAGTACCCTGCGAACCAGTAGGAGAACTGTGGTTATGTTATTAACAGAGTGCTCTTAATAGCATAACATGGTATGGTGCGGGAGGAGCAATTCTTGTTAATGGGATCTGGCATTAACAATTAGATATTTACATGTGAGCAAGGTAAGCTGAAGTAAGCCGATTCTTATTTCGAGTTGAAATCAGAAATCGCTGAACCCAGTGAAATTTGGATATCAGAGTGGCAGACCCCATAAAAGTATATCTATTTATATTCTTGATGAAGCTATTTCGAATTAATAATTATAATGTAAAGTATATCAAGAAATAGGTTCCGCAGATAAAAGTGATATTAATTATAATAATATATCAATAACAGAAATATATAGATATAGAGAGGTTAACTGTAATACTTACATCGTATTTACTTGACCTCATTTTACCCATTTATTTTGCATCTAATTTACATTCGTATTTCGGCTACGCTTTTTTGTTAGATTCAATCCGAGCGACCATTTGATGAGCGTAACAGAATTTTCGTAGCTTTGAATGGATTTCGCCCTCGATGCAGTAGATTTGTATATATATATATATTATATAATATATATATACATATATATATATTATATAATATATATTTATATATAATATATAATAATTTCGAAAATTACTGTTCATTCATATTCGTACGATAAGATTGGCTTAATTTCGTAAATTAAGTTTTTGTTAAGTATAATATGTTACATTTATTGATTGATTTACTCAAACAAACAACTTTTTATCTTAGAATTTTGAACACTATTTGTTAAGCACTTTATTTATTGATTTATCAAATATTATTCACTCGCTACGTATAGAATTTGACCAAATAAATTTGCTTCTATTTTGCAGTTTTCTTGCATATTTTGATATCGTTAACAGTCTTTGCGAATTTGTATATTTTAAAAGTAAAAAGCTTCGGGTATACAACTGAAAATTAATAAGAATTCGGTTTCAGCTCGACTTCTATTACCGTAGCTTTATATTGAAATATTACGCATACGCCACGTGTCACCAATCGCTGCTCGATTGGGAATGAATGTGCTCTGCCAAAGTTTCCCTTTTGCCGAAACACACAGAGTTCTGGGGCGAACTTTTCTGCCAAATGTGCTTCCAAGTGTTACTTTAGGCAGCTCTGCTCAATTTGATGTTGTTATTTTTTAGGAAAAATCGTTAGGCTGAACCGAAAAACAACAAATGCTAAAAGTGCATGAACAAAAGGCTAGCTAGCTGGCCCGCTCGGGAGGGCAATTTAGTTGCCTGTTAGGTGGATGGTAAAAGAAGGGGGCAGAAAGCACGTGAAAAAATGCCGGAAACAGAAATCGATTTGCACCAAATGAACATATGTATGTGTGTGTGTGTGTTTCAATAAAAGAAAAATGAGGCAGAGACAGCCACAGAGGACAGGCTATGGACAGACTCAACTAAACTAGTTTGTTTATAACGATTGACCAAGCTAGGCTCTGTTTAATATCTAGTGAACTTTACACACACACACACATACACATACACACACACACGTACACACACACACAAACACAAACACCGAAATTATGTCACACACATGCTGGACACGAAAGTAGGCAACGATTACGTTTTGTAGCTCGAAAAACATGCGACAAACTCTCCTCTTTTTTTGTATCCCTCACTTGAGCATCGACAATATTTTTATACGACTAAGTTACGGCAACAATAAAAAAATTGTAGAATTTATCAAGTTAATTTGTTGTTAAAATTCTTTTCAGTTGTTCAGCGTTTTTACCCGTCGCTGCTGCTGCTGCTGCACGACGCGCTGAAAATTCACGTAACAATTGATTTGTGTGTCAAAAATGTCACAAGTGTCAAAAATTGTATGGAAAGACTGCGTTGCTCTTAAGAGAGAAATAGAGAGAGAGAGAGGGAGAGAGAGTGAAAATAATAGAGACAGAGAGCAGCACA